CCACATCAGCATGAAAGAATGCATGCAAATCCATATATTACCCCTGAAAATCTCTTCCTCTGACACTGACAGAGACTTAGTCCTAAGATGGGCATCTCAAGTGGAGATGGAAGAGGTGGCATAGCACAGCTGTTTTGTGTAATTGGATTGGAAATGGGCCTCAGGCTACAATATCTCTGCTTAGCTTCTGGCTGGCTGTACTGTTGGGGCCTGTAAGGAGCCCCTTGGCTACTGCATATGCCATTTGATGTATTGGATGAGAATGACTGTTTTCTAGCCCAGCTACAGGTGTGCCCAGTGGTGAAGGATGGGTGGGCACTATGTATGCTGGAGGCTAACAACTCATCGCATCCCGTCCAACAGAAACCCAAATCCTTTGAGAACCTCTCTCTCTTTGCATTGCATTCCTCTGTAATTCTTTCTTTCTTCGTGGTTCAGCTCCTTCTTTTAAAAGCTAGGAGTGTGCTTTCCCTTTAAAAAAAGAAAAAAGAAAATCTGGTTTTTATATAGGTAACTCAGAGTTCAAGATTCCCGGTTAGGGTTGGAAGCTAGCCCTGTCGCTCGATAGAATCCAAGGCTATGTGCCTGGTAGTGCTCTGAGGGATAAAGTCCAGTTCTTGCCGTGCTGTTAGTTTCGTTCTGTGATTCTTTCCTGCTGCCGTTCAAAGGTAGAAATGGTAGTCTTTGGGTCTAAATGGAACCATTCGTCTTCCAGCAGGCTAACAAAGTCTTTTTGTTCCAGCTGATACACACAAAAAACACCCCTCCACCCAGTTCAACATTGGCTGAGTACAACAGGACAAGCTATAATTAAGAAGAACAAAAAGACTCCATCGTCCTTCATGGCTTCAATCACTTGTCATTTTAAGCTGTTTTTTTTTAAAAAAGAAAATGCACTTCTCTTACTTCTTTATGTTTAGTGGCTTTAATTTTCCTGCTCTGTAAGTGCTAAGAGCTTGAGCATAATTAAGCATGACAAAAAGGCTGCAGTTCTAAGGTTTCCATTGTAACTACCCCACCCTACCAAAGTGCCCCCTAATAAGTCCTCAGATATGAGGACCACTGCTTAATTGCATTGCTCTTTCATGTAATTGTACTCTGAAGCTACTTTTTTAAATGTCCTTACGGCTTCATGCAGATCCAAGGGTTGGCCCTTAAGCATTTTGTGCAATTAGTGACACTTAATTCTTTACCTTCATATAGAAAGTGGAACTGTACACTTCTGATTTTTATATACAGACAACTTTAACTCTTGAAAACGGTACTTGGAGATCTAGCGTGATTAAAATTAACCTTTTAAAAGATTGCGCAATCATGTTGTACTTAAAACTCCAAGGTTTAGTTTTCTTTGCCCCCACAAATGTGACATTTGGTCTCAATAGATGCATCTGTTTTCAAGGATGTGGGTCAATGTTAACTTTGTGCTTTTCCTTAGTCTCTTATCCAAAGTAAAATTTAAAATGAATTGGCTGGGACTTCAGATGGATAACTGCCTACTTCAGGATCATTAGTTAAGAAGCTTCTTACAGCCATTTTGCAGTTGTTATTCACTGTGTATAGAGATTTGTTGAGTTAACGGGCCACTTCACATTTGGCATTCCATATTGAGAAACAGGTTTCCAGTACAAAATACTTGAGAGCTGTGTTAGCTATGATGGAGTGTTGCATTTGTTAAATTATTATGCACGTCTCTAACATTTATAGGGGACGCGGGTGACGCTGTGGGTTAAACCACTGAGCCTAGGGCTTGCCAATCAGAAGGTCGGTGGTTTGAATCCCCATGACGGGGTGAGCTCCCATTGCTCGGTCCCTGCTCCTGGCAACCTAGCAATTCGAAAGCACGTCAAAGTGCAAGTAGATAAATAGGTACCGCTCTGGCGGGAAGGTAAATGGCGTTTCCATGCGCTGCTCTAGCTTGCCAGAAGCGGTTTAGTCATGCTGGCCACATGACCGGAAGCTGTATGCCGGCTCCCTTTGCCAATAAAGCGAGATGAGCGCTACAACCCCAGAGTCGGCCACGACTGGACCTAATGGTCAGGGGTCCCTTTACCTTTAACATTTATAGAAGCAACCTCTTAGGATGGAACCATAACTTTCCTGTAGGAAGGGTGACATTTGTTGGTTGGTTTGTATGTTTACATATATTAAGCCCTAAAAGAAAGCAAATGTTTGTCGTGTATTTATTTTTTAAATTACTTTCTTTTTGCAAGAGTGCAGCATATTTATAGCATGTAGAATAGGGCATTTTGGTTCATTTGTTTTGAATTAAAACATTTCTACATAAACAATGTGTAGATTGTTTGTGTATGATTCTATAATTCTATGAATTGAGAACCCATTGATTTATACAATATGTTTTTGTATTGCATATGTATTTTTTACATGTCCTAACCCATGTCCTTCCAGGTACTAACCTAACTTGTGAGCGGCTCTATTCTTGCCAAACACGAGCTATAACCAAGAGCAAACCTTAGCTATAGCTCATGTTTAGCAAGAAGAGTGCTTGATCACAAGTCCATAGCCTCAGGTGACACACTAAGCTAAACCTTCATTCAGCTCACTATGGCATGGCAGGGAAAAATGCCATGGAGTAGCAAAGCGGCTGAGCACTTCTCTCCGGGAGCCCACAAGTTCACCTGCTGTTGGTCATGTCAGAGTTTAGCTTAGTGCGCCAGGCAAGCCAGGGTCATGTGGGCAATGTTTGAGGGGACAAGTTTGGAAATCAAATATTGTCAGAAGATAACTGCAGTTGATGCTGCTGCTGAATAATAACCAAACTTGGGTAAGCCCCTGTGTTAGTTGACTTACTATTCTACTTTTAACATTTCTGTGCTCCTTTTAAATTTTAATTTACTGGAAGGGTCCCAAGCATTATAAATACAGCACATTTTTCTTTAAATTGTGGACAACATATTATGAGTCATCCAAGTGCCAATCATCTCTAGAACCTAACATCTAGAAGGACCTAAATGTTTCTGTGGAACAAAATACCCACAAAAAAGTAGGATCTCTAGGCAGTGCTGGGAACCTTATTTCTTGGACCTATTGACTGTACTGTTAGTGGCAGACAAACATTAGCTCCCCATTTTATGCACATGGAGAGGAAGTCCTCTATGTAATGAGTACATAATGTGTAAAGCATGGGAAACTATTCTAATAATCATTAAATTACTTGAAAGTGCAATTGCAGTTGGAGATCAGCCGCTGCTGATCCATTTCTTGTCAGGGACATTTCCTAAGAATGGAAAATTAGGTGGGGCAAGATATGCCTTTTAATTCTCCTACTGCTGTTGCTTTTCTACAGCTACTATTCCTCCTCCAGTGTGGTGGTTAAGAGCGGTAGACTCATAATCTGGTGAACTGGGCTCGCGTCCCTGCTCCTCCACATGCAGCTGCTGGGTGACCTTGGACTAGTCACACTTCTCTGAAGTTTCTCAGCCCCACTCACCTCACAGAGTGTTTGTTGTCGGGGAGGAAGGGAAAAAAGACTGTTAGCCGCTTTGAGACTCCTTTGGGTAGTGATAAAGCGGGATATCAAATCCAAACTCCTCCTCCTCCTCCTCCTCCTCTTCTTCTTCTTCTTCTTCCTTAAGGAGAGTGAAAGGCGGGATATCAAATCCAAACTCCTCCTCCTCTCCTCCTCCTCCACAGTTAGCAGTAGTAAAAATACACAACCTCAAGTCCAGGATAAGAACAAGTGATGCTTCAGTATTTCTGGAACTATGTAGATGTAGACTTGAGCCATTCCTCAAATGAAAGACCGCTGAGAATCCAAAATAGAGTCCAATGTCAAAATAGGATATAAATAAGAATAATACATTTTAAAAACTATGAAACTTGTAGCAAACTTCAATTACACATTGGTTTCTTGTTGCTTCAGCACTTCTTTTTCATGGGTAGGTTGTATGACATGCTTCAGCATATTCCAGGGCTTAAATTGCTTTTACAGCATTCATAAGAACTGAACAAACATATGTTTTTTTCTTCCTAGGCATCAGTGGCAGAAGGAACCATAAATTGAGTTGTGCAAGAATATCCCCAAATGAAATAAAAATGCAACATTCAATCATATCTATTCAAAACAAAAGCAAATAATAATAATAATTCAGGACATGTCTTAATCAAAAGAAATCTGTTGCATTTATTTATAGTAGAAGGAAGGGATGGGATTGTAAAACATGTGGCTTCTGATTCTGCCCCCCCCCAAATCCTTAGTAATCTTGAACATTTAAATATGTGTGTATATGCATATACATACACACACGGTTATTACAAATAGTAATCCCCTTCTCTGGTGGAGAGTTATTTTGGATGAATATTTACTTTGGATGATCTGGATTTTAAATTTCTAAGGGTGAAGGAGTAGAAAAAGATAAACAAATTACTAAAAACATGAAAACTATTGTTGATTGAAAAAATTTCGACAGGTGCATCTGATATCTCCAAACTCTAAGATACTGCCCATACAAATTCTGAAGAAAAGTGGCAGCTACATGAGCATAGCTGTGTGCGTGTGTTGTGGTGGAGCTTGTGTGTATACGCTTGTGTATACCCGAAATGAAAACCAGAGATATGCAAAGGATTTGTGGTTAATGGCGGTTTGTAAGACCTTTATCAGGAATAAGGATTAGCTTTTTGACATGTTTTGTAAAATGAGAGTGAAAGCCTGCAAACCAAGTGTCTGACGCTGGCATCTGACTAAGAACACACTCCTTCCATTAACATCTGTGGCTGTTTTCTCACTGACATCAATGGAATCTTTTCTCTGCAGCCCAAGCTTTCCCCTTTAATATGGAAAGTTGTGGTGTGTGGGTGTGTTTGCGTGCACGCATGCACATGCATATTCATGCATGGAGCACAGTATCCATACTTCCTCATCAAGTATGTGGTGATTGCCAATACTATTGGGCTATATAAATGACAGACACATGCATCTTCCTATATTTGTCTTTCTCCTTTTCTACTACCTTTCTCACTTCCTTTCTTTCTCTTTCTCAAAGGCCTTTCACACCTGATGATGGGTGAACAAGGTAAGTCTTTTCTTTCCTGCTTTTGCCAGTGCCTGACTGTGGCCACAATGACCCATGCTTCTTCCTAGTCCTGGCTTGGCTTGCATAAGCCCATATCCCCAAAGCAGCTCAACTGCTTTGTCCCCCCCCCCCATCTCTTGCCTTTCCATCACTCACTTGCCAAACTTTGGGCTGTGCAACCAATGCTCAAGAGCAGCCTCCCTGTCCCCCACAGCCTGGGCACTTCTAGATGTTTGGGACTCCAGCTCCTATCTGGAGGACATCAGACTGGAAAAAACTGTATAATTCTGGGAAGTTTGAAGTGAGGTGTTCTGACAATGAATTGAAGCGATGAAAGGGAAATTAAGAGAACTGCAAACATGCTCCTTCTCTTCATATACTCACCAGCCTTTCTGTCTTTGTTTTGAAATCTGGCACAGTTTCTTTACCTGTTTGGTAAACATGGTCTTCAGAATTTCACTTCCCATTTCAGGGGAAATGTTCTGCAAGAACATACTTAACAGGTTTCACAAAATGACCCTAGGTCCTTGAAGACAATTTAGAGCTTATGGTCTTTTTGTTTCCAACCTGCAGCTTATGGTATTCAAATACGTTCAGAACGCATTGTTTCAACAAATGAAGTTTGGTATAACCCAGGGCTGGATTGCACAATGAATTGCCTCTAAATCAGAAGCCTTGTTTTTGTCGTTTGGGCCAGATGTTATTGTGCATTGATTGAATTTGGCAGAAGGAGCTTATTGGCCTCATGCTGGGCAGAAAGTAATGGTGTAAAGTTTGGACAAAAGCAAGCAAACATTCAGGAATTAGGTAGGGAAGACAGAGGATTTGATGCAGCTGTGGCATGATCTACCTCTAGATATGGCAGAGATGGAGAGATGCTGGATTCACACCCTCCATTTCAGCGAACAACAAGCAAATATTGAATGGGTCAGTTGAGGAAAGTGGTTCCTTGATCAGAAGGGTGGGTCCATAAAGTTTTTGGTCCCAGGTACTATAACTCAGTGTAACTGAGGAATCATCTGAACCTTCAAATCAAGAGTTCTTTCAGTCCACATGTGTAAGGTACACTCTGCCTCTGCTGATTCAGGCCAAGCAGCTGAGCCCCCTCTAGTCAGGAAGCAAGGAGCTGAATTGGGATGGCAGCAGTAGGAGGGCAAGTCAGAGCTATAAAGCTATCCTGGAACATAATTGTTTCTCGTTTGCTACATTGGCACAAAGAGAGACATATCCTTTTGCAGCCACTACAAAATCCTTGCCCTAAGATGTGGCACAGAGCAATACAGTTCTACTTGCCAAGCAATCCCCTTTATTGAACATCTTGTTAGGTGGGGCTAGCACAGACTGCCACTGGTCTTCCTGCTGGGTCTGAAAAGAGACCCTGTAGGATGAAATGAGAAAGGGGTCAAAAGGCTCCTTGCTACAGTAGTAAGGCACAAACATGAAATGCTAGCGTGTGCTGCTTTGCCAGATCATCCTTCTGTTAGCTAGATTGTTGTTGTGGTTGCATCTTTCTGCTAAAGCCATTGCCAAACAGGTAATGGAGAACTGAATTTTGCCCGGGTAATTTAGAATACTGCTGAAATTATATTTCACCTGTGAAAGTTCTCTGGTTAAAGTAAATGTAAAAATCTTAAACCATAAGCTTGAAGACCAATGCAGAGTGATGCCACTGAGCAGTTATTTGAAATTCAGGTACATTTCCAAAGGGCCAAACTACATGTACATAATTGTATAGTTTTGCCTTTGAGTGAAATTCCTGCCCCTTAAATTGCCAGGGAAGCAAAATCTGGATCAGGACCCTTGCAGGGGGTGGTGGTAGGGAGGCTTTGACCTTTTGCCCTACACTGCACCTTCAGTGTGAATGTATTGACCCCTCCCCAAGGAAAATTGCAGATGTTTCTGGAACCAGTTTGAGATTGTAGCAGGGGCCAAATGACTAATGCCCTCCATTGCTCATGCTAGGGTCCGAATCCAGATCAAGCTCCTCATTCTCACAGTTTGTGGAAACCAAAGGTGGAACAGTACAGTTAAGGTCCAGTGGGGTCTGCCCCTAAGATTTAAGATGGTGGAGCAGCCTGAATGTCTGCCAGGAAGCTTAGCGGACCCAATCTCCGTTCCTGATCTGTCACTGCTATTGTTGCATTAAGAGCCTCTCTTCCTTCTCTCTTTTTATTCTGAGTACTTGGCTGGGTTCCAAGGAGCTCTTCACTTGTCTCTTTACCCCTGCTTCATTTTTCAGCTGGTCTGTAGCCAGGTATGGTAAGCTACCCGTAGAGTAAATACTGCAGTTGACAAGTCCCAACTGCCACACTCGGGTGTAAAGGGACTGTGACAGCAGGCTCTTCGGGAACCATGAAAAGCTCATGTTATACCAGCCAGATTCTTGAAAAGGCATTACATTGTGGAGTGTGCATCTGTCAAAGCAAGTGGTGAAATGCCTGCATTATACAATTTCAGTCACTGGCCCATAGGTTTCAAGCTGCTGCCCATTCAGTTTGAAGACACTCTTGTGACTTCAGCCTGCCTTTGATAAATGACAGTGGTTTCTTCATCCTGCTTCCCCTTGCCTGGTGTCTATACTAGGAACCAATGACCTCTGGCATTTCTTCCCATCACCATCCTGTACCTATCTCATTGTGTCAAGTAACTGGCTGTATTTTTCTTTCCAGCTAATTCTCTCCACTGTTCCATCCCGATGAATATTTATATAGTGTGTATAAAATCCTAACGTACCTGTGTGACTCAATAAATGCATATTGTATTCAGTGGCAATATAATATAGAGAAACAACGTGTGTGTTTGTGTATCTGGAACAACTGCACAATCTTATTTATCCTACACCACTATTGGTAGGTGGAAAATATTGGGCCAATATATTTCCACAGGAGAAACCCCTCCCTTTGCCCCATGTGTTAACCTTTGTTTTCCGTGTAGTTTTGGTTTTGATGTGGTGTGCTGTGCGTTGCTGATATGCTGCTATTGCATGCACAACCAGCCTTTCTCCATGTAAATTTGGAGCTAAAGTGCTTAAATAGTTACCTACTTATGTGTTTTGTGTGGTTTGCTATTCCCTCTTCTTAAAAAGTGTGCTTTGGGTGTATTTTTCTCCCTTTTGTGCTGTGTTCATATGCTTATTTTCATGTTGTCTGTTGGTGATGTGCACAGTGATCTAATTTTAATTTTTGTTATTTTCTTTAAATCCTCCTTCCTGCTCTTTTCTCTCGCCTTCCCCCCTCGGTGGACACTTCTCCGTACCTGTGCTTATGTGGACATACAACTTCATACCTTATAGGTAGAAGTAAAGGTAGAGATCATTTTCTTTTAAAAAGAATGGCTCTGATTGTTGATATGCTTGTAAAATGTTTGTGTGTCGTCTTTTAAAAATCTGTGTGGTCCATACTAATGCTTTTATTTAAAAAGAAAACCATTTTGCTGAATCATCTATTTTGCTGACCCCTAAGAAAAGATATTTTGGGTTGTCTGCCCTGTGACATTTGGAAATGCACAGGCTGCTATGCGGGTTTGATCAACACAGGAAACAGTCTGATGGCATGGGACAACTAGTTGCCACTGTTGTTTCTGGCACTTGGATCTCAAGTTCCATCTTTGGAACTTCTTACTTGTGTTATAGCAGGGACGCGGAGCCTGCAGCCCTCCAGATGAACTCCAGCTCCCATCAGCCCTGCCCAGCATGTTCAGTGGCCAGGGGTGATGGGAGTTGTAGTCCAACAGGATATGGCCCTTTATCCTTGTATCACAGCACCGGTAAATGAAACCAGCACCAGGTACGCAGCCTGCATACTTAGTAGGTCTATTAATAAAATAGCTGGGGCCTGCCATCTTGAGTTTGTGGGCGTTGTATTGGTGCAGTTATGTCCAAACATGGAATCAGCTGGATGTGGGTGGATCATGGCACAATGCATATTCACTTTATGGAGGAACAGTCTTCTGCTCAGAAAAAAAGAGATATAGAAATGATACTGAAACTTAAAATGAAGAAAACATACTCCAATGTATCTGAAGTGGCCATTGTTATTCGAAATGATTGGAAGAGCACCATACTTGGGGAGTCTTAACAGAAGGGTAAAAATCCACTCTTCAAAAGACAGAGGTTTTCTCTTTTATGCATGTCTCATTAAGACACATCAGCAGGCAGGAGAAGTTTGTGGCTGTTAAAAAAAGGCAGAATCACTTTGTGTCCACTGTGGGTCTTTTGTTGGGGGTGTTTGAGGAAGAAAGAGAACCTGAGAAAACTCATTCAAGTTAAATCAACTCATTAATTCTTCAGAGAGATTATTGTGTGTGAGTATTTTTTCCATTGTTGCCCAATAAATATTTTGCTTGGAAATACAATGTGTTTTGCCAGTATGGTATACAGAGCTCTTGGAATCAAATGAACTTTGGACTCAGTTCAGTTGCTTAACTGGTCAACATCCACCGCACTGCTTCATTTAATATATGATGTAATAGTTTAATATGGAGGCCAAGTTCATTCATGCATCCAGTTTGTGTGATTCTTCCTCCTCCTCAATAAAATAAAAATAAAAAAGGGGGTTGATAATGGAAATAGGTGTGCATGAAAAATGGCCTTCATGTGGAATGCCTATGTAACATGTTGTCTTCCTCATGGCAGGAAGAGGCACATGCCCGATTCCCCTGCAATCACTGGCTTGGTTTGCATGTCATAGTACACCAAATAATGCTTTACTGAGAATGTTCTGTATCCTGGAGTGAAGCTTGCACCCACTTTGCTCCTCCCTGGACATTTTAGCTCAGCTTGAAATAGCAGCTAAGCCAATGTTCGACGTAGCATGTCATCTGAGCCCAGAATTGTGGTTAAGGTCTCTCTTCCCTTAACCATGACCTGTAGCCAAGAACAAACCTAAGCTACAAATTGTGGTTGAGGAAGAGAGAGCTTAGCCATGATTCTTGGTTAGGATGACATACTTAGCCAACTTTTGGCTCAGCTGCTGTCCTGCACTGAGCTAAAAAAGTCCAGGGAGGGGGAGCAAAGCAGCTGTGATGTGTAGTGTTAAACGAAAAGTGGATTTGTTCTAAAGCATTTATTCCATATGTGGATTTTGTCATTTGACTGTTGCAATGCCTTGCAGTCATGCATGACATCTGGAATTGAACGAGACACCAAATCCAGGAACTGCTGGGTGGACTTGAGCTTGTTCTGCAGTGGCTGTTCTTTCTTGAGGAATAAAGAGGAGGATGAGAATTAAAGAACCATTACTTAGAATGTATTTTCTAGCCTCACTAAATAAATGATGGCCAAATAGATAATAAATAACCTCCTTCTAATTTGCTATTGAGCTTGAGTTAATGTCTAGTCACATTCTACCGTATCATTTGTTCTGTAGACAGCCTTTAGATAAGGAAATTATAATTGACCTTCCTGTTGCATTCCACTATAAATTTCCTCATTCCTACCATGCTTTTTTTTTGGTGTTGGTTTTTATGATCTTTCTTGGTTTGACCACACATTGGTTTCTTTTCTCTTCGCACACTGCAGTAAATCCATGACTCCACTTGCACACACATGTGCAATAGAATGTGGGAAGCCATAAAAGAAAACAGGTCAATCTCGCCCCCCCCCACCTCTCCAGTTAATGTCATTGATTTCACTTTGGTAGGTCAGCCTTCGGATTTTTCCTTTTAATGTGAGAAGCCAGGAGCTGCTTTGTTGCAATGGCAAATTCTGTGTACACACCTACATTGAAAGTCCATTTAAAGCATGCTGCTTCCCCAAGGAATCATGGGATCTGTAGTGTATCCCTTATGAAATTACATTTTCCAGCACCCTTGACAAAATTTCAATTTCCAGGATTCTTGGTGAAAGTTATCAGCTTCACATAGCCAAAGAATGTGAGCTGTGAAGTTTAATTCTTATCTTAGCCATAAACTTACTTGGTAAACATGCAGTCTTGGTTCACTTACAATCTGAGGATAATAATAAGCCAATAGGAAGCTGGCTTATATTAAGCCACACTTTTTATCCACCCAGCCTGGTATTATCTACTCTGACTGCCCATTTCTGCCTCAGACAGGGTCTCTCCCACCACATGCTACTAGTTCCTTCTAACTGGAGATGCCAGGGATTTAACAGGGAACCTTCAGCAAAGAAAGCATCTGACCAGAAGCATGGTCTCAACTCTCAGCAACTGGCTCTCCAAGGCTGGATGTTAGGAACACTGCTGTAATACATATGGACTACTTCTGAACGCTCTAAAGCGCTATGTAAATGTGAACTGTTCTTAGGATTTCACTTCTTTTTATTCATGTGTTCTAAGAGACTGTGAGTGAAATCTAAAGACAACTTAACAGGTGCATTAAAAGTCAAATTGAAATCAATGATACTTAAATATGTTATTGATTTCGGTTAGAGCTTAAGCACATCTAGACTTTGCTGTGGCCTGCCATTTCAACCCCTTGCAGAGAACTGCATAACGTGATGCACAGGCTGACACACTCTGGATTGTGCAATGCTAGGTACACAACATGTGCTACGTATAGGGTTATTTGTGTATTATTAGCATTTTTCACCCACCTCTTTACTTCGCAAAATTGCATATTTTCTCGGGCTTCTGTGTACCTGAACAGATGATCTGGAATTGGTTTTTCCCCCTATGTGGATTGAACACTGCTACACACTATTTAGATGGACACAAGAGAGACATTTAAAAAGGCATATACTTAAATTTTTAAGGTAGGAATACAGCAAGACACAAGGGGACGCGGGTGGCGCTGTGCGGTAAAAGCCTCAGCCGCCTAGGGCTGCTGATCGAAAGGTCAGCGGTTTCGCAATCCCCGCGGCGGGGTGCGCTCCCGGTTGCTGCGGCCTGCAACCTAGCAGTTCGAAAGCACCCCGGGTGCAAGTAGATAACCTAGGGACCGCTTACTAGGCGGGAAGGTAAACACGGCGGTTTCCGTGTGCAGCTCTGGCTTGCCAGAGCAGCGATGTCATGCTGGCCATGTGACCCGGAAGTGTCTCCGGACAGCGCTGGCCCCTGGCCTCTTGAGTGAGATGGGCGCACAACCCTAGAGTCTGTCAAGACTGGCCCGTACGGGCAGGGGTACCTTTACCTTTACCTTTTACAGCAGACACACACTTTACAAGTATGTGCATCATGCAGGTATCCTTGTTAGAAAGCCAGGACTGGTCGCAGGTAGGGATGACTGATGACTCAGTCTGTTTCTGGACCGTTTTGGTCAATTTTGCATGTGTTCATTCCACTCTGTATCTGCATTTGTTTTGAAGTACGACCTTTTTATTTAAATAATATTTTTTTTTCAGTTGGTTGTATCCAGAGTAGCACTAAGTGAACGTTCTGTCAGTGCAATGATGTCTGGTTGGGGAGTGGAGTGTTCTCCTCTCCCAACCCTATGCATTGCCTAAATCTGTTCTAGGGTTTCCCATAACTCTCTGGTGCAGATTGTGGGGGTTTCATTGTGGGAATGGAAATCTTTGTGCTATTGGGACACGTTGGATGAATACTAACCCATTTCTAAACATATACCGTATTTTTCCGTGTATAAGACGCCCCCATGTATAATACGCCCCCTACTTTGGGGGACTCCAATTTAGAGAAAATATGCATATGCACTATCTGTGTATGAGCCCCCCCCGATTCCGAACCTTATTTTAGAGTAAAAAACCCTAGTCTTATACACGGAAAAGTACGGTATTGCCCTGAAATGCTTGTTTTTAACAAAATTTGGTAATTTTTTGAACCTGAGAACTGTATCACACAATTTTAGAGAAGTATGAAAACTGAAGGATAATTATGTTATAATCTGTGTACAAGTCTGCAGTCCTAACCCCACATACCTATAAATAAGACCCATTAATCTCAATAGGGCTTACTTCTGAGTAGACATGGTAAGGATTATTCTTTTAGTCTGGGAAGTGCAAATTGGGTCAGTTTGCTTAAAAATGCAGACCAGACGAAATTTCCATATATCCTTTGCTGTCTTTTTCTGTTAAATATACACTTGGTGGCTAATCTGGATTCTGTACTATAGCATGAAACAGCACACAATTTACAAACAACTGATGATTAGAAATTAGGTAGACCCCCCCCTCTTTTTTGTGCCTAGTTTTTAGTGATGTGCAGAAATTTATAATATACACATTGAGGCTGTTTGCATTTTTACATTGCAGATGAGTTTGAAAGCAGAGTAAGATGTATAATGTAATGTGCGGTAGAAAGAACTGAAGCCTGTAGCATTATGCAGTGTGTGTGTGTGTGTGTGTGTGTGTGTGTGTGTGTATGTATAAAACAATGACAATATTTTGTG